CCCCCCCCCACCACCACCACACGGTCACCCCGTCGTGATCGAGATCTACGACCATCCTACCGCCGCCGACGCCGTCGAAAGATCCTGCGCATTCTGTCCTTCTCATCCCCGTCGTCCTGCAAGCTGTTCTTTCTCGACGCAATACGCGAGGCTGCAGCGGGCTCCACTTTGTCCTTCTCCTGCTCACATCGTAACATATTATAGAGGACCGTTGTAGTCCTGCCCGTTTTCTACGTAGGTACGTTTCGCCGCCACAGCTGTCGTGCCGACGACGACGAATTTGTCACTAAAATTCGTCCCGGCGCGGCGGCGGTGGTGACGTGTGAACGACGTCGACGTGTACATCACAGCAAAGCGTTATACTCCCTACGCATAGACTTCCATCATAATATGACACAACTACACAAGGTACTATTATGTATAGTTCTTATTCGGCTGCCATATTTTAGGCATCTGTGTATAGGAGAACTTACAATATGAATTTTCAAAAAAAAAAAAATGCCCATCTTAAATCATAATAAAACCTCGATCATCGTTATAATAATATTATATTATAGGTGAGTTCAATGTTAATGTGATCACTAAAAGCACGCCGTCATAATGTTTAGTGTTTTAGATTCATAATAATTACCGACTCCGGTAGTAAAATTATTTTTATAATGTACAAATAAAAATATTGTAAGATTTATCTTACACGATTGTGCGATTTGAGGATATTTAATTCTTCGTTTCAATTCCATTTTACACACGTCTAAGGAGAATTCCAAAACAACAACGTAAACGAGATATCGGCTAAATCACTCATATAATTAATCATCCAAAGACAATTTATTAAATTATTTTTTGAAAAACTAACTTGCATATTATATATAATAACAATTTATAATTAAATAAATGTCAATAATTGAAAATACTTGTATTGAATCTATAATAAAAGTAACATGTAAGAAATATCAGTCTTCGTTTAGTATGCGAGACGTATCTATAGCATTATACGTACGGACAACGTACGGGTGCCGATAAATTAGCATGCAAGGTACAATTTAAACATTTTTTAAGTGATATACAAAAATTGTATTGATTTTATTTTGAGTAAAATGTCATGATATTTTTGAATATTTTTGACACATTGCTGTAATAGGTAACTATCCTAAACTATGGAATATTCATTATTCATGCATTTTGTTTTTAACGATTTTGACATTATTAAATGTAATTCTGTATTGTTTTATATTTGTATTACTAGTTAATACTACTTATAGTTAATCAATAGTTATGAAATAACATGGTTTTATGATTTTTACTTTGATTAACTATACTGAAAGAATACCCAATACGGTAGGTCACATATTCTAAACGAACACCAAAATATCATATATTAATTAATAAATTTAATATATCTATACAAATTATAATTTCAAGTGATGATTCACTATAGATTATTATATTCGGGATTTTATTTTAATATCACTTGCTAATTGCTATATATCTTATAATTTTTACAATTGATTTCCATACGAATACACACTATTGATTTATTATTTGCTTTATTACGTTCGATTTAATATTGTTATTTAACATTTTTTAGAAATGTGAACCTTTCAACGGTGTAAAAATATTTAATACAATTTTTGTGTACCAGCAAATACCGATACAAGAGTGGTTTCAGACTTTCAGAGTGCCTAAAATTTATATATCTACTTAAAAATATTTTTATAAATTATTATTTTATAGTTTTATACAAACGTTTATTATATACTACGCATTATTAAACCGTATTTCTGTCCAATGTTTAGTTCAATAAAATAGACGCCCAAATCAATTTTTCAGTAATAGTTTTCACTTTGCATAACCTACTCAGTTTTTAATTCATATGCTAATCGATCCCCACTAACGTTCTCTCGTGTCCCATTACTGCCAAAACTGACGTCCTACACATACTTAACAACTGACAATTTATTTTATTCTGTCCCTTTAAATACATTTTAATTAATTTAGTACTTATATATTTTTATTTTGGAATAATAATACTGTTACAAAAATATAAATGTTCAAAAATAGAATGTAATAATCGAGTTTCACTTTTTTGAAACTATGATCTTTTTTCTTATCCAACATTTCCCCTATACTAACTTTATTGATTTATTAATAACTACAAAAGTCTTAAACAAAAATGCATATCTAATTCCCATTCTCGGGTTACAATAATGTATGATGTAACAACGAAAGTCTGCTTTGGGTTTAGTTGAGATTTGATTCAATTGAATCAAATTAATAGACCTAATGGCGAATATAATATATAATAATCATGTACTAATAGATTATTATAATAAAATGAATAATTTTATATGATTAAGTTGTTGAACAAACGTGTACCTATTATTAATTGCAAAAACATGTTCTTGAAAATTTGGCATGTTGGTAAATTTAATTTTCCTTACACCCATGTGGTGAGCGCTGTGGACAGCGATCTAAACCACTTTAATTATTTAACGACGTAGCACGTATTCGTCAGTCTTGAGATTTTTATTGAGAAAGGTAGGTATTGAAGTTAACTAAACACTTAGACTTGTTTTGTTAACAATAAAGTATAACAATTTATTAATTATAATTCAAACATAAAAATTCTTCAGCACACTATCGTAAGCGCGTTACGCTATCGAGCAGGGCTGACTATCTTCTAAAAAATGGTAAGTGTTCTACCCGTATTTATGCAGGTTCTAACAATGACGGCTAGTGGCGTGATATTCTTATATTCTAATTGTACTCCCCAAATACTGCTGATTCGCATTATTATGTAAAATAGGTAAAAACAATCTGTTCTTTTCACCTCTGATCTCTATTTAGCCTTTTACGCACATAGCAAATTATATTTATGCCTACCTTATCTATCATAAATTATACCTCGTGTATAATTTATAATTATAAGTAAGTAATATATTCTAATAAGCGTTATGAAATAATAATGAGTAATATACTACTCTTTTTGGGTTTACTACACTCAGCTTATAATAGATCTACTCTCAAATAAATATAATACCTTAAATATACACTACGCGTTACTACGTTTTGTAATAATTTATTATTAAACAGGATTTAAAGTTTTGAACAACTAAATGATCATCGTGTGCTTAAGTGGACTCCAGATTTCGCATTTTTATGGTTTTCATCTCACAAACGTAGAAAGCATGAAATTTTCCGAACCAATTTTGTGTTGTTACCCTGTTATAGTTTTGAAATTTATTAGTAATTACTGTAAATTCACATATTATTATTATTATCAAACTTTATGGGGTACAGACATTATCCGTACGCATTTATGTTTGTTTTTGTATTTCATTTTTTAATCAAGTTAGGACTTATGACTAGTTACGAGAACTTAAAATGTTAGAATTTAATAATGCCCATTAGGTATAGGTACTCACTATGTTGTAAAAAACAACAACATAAACAAACATTTTATAATAATATGTTCTATATTTTAAGTTTGATAATAAATGAATTCACTGTAATAGTCACTATATAGGTATGCTATATAACAACTGAATATCGGTTATGCCAAACCCAAATTTACTTAATTCGCTGTAGATATGTTACGTATATTCTGTAAGACATACACAAAACATGTGGGGGTGTGTTGTAGTCTTCGACAGCTCTTAATCCTATTACAAGTTTCCAAACGATTTTGCACAATTGTTTACATTTTTTTTATGTAAATAGGTACTAGGTGAAACATATATATCAATTTGATTGTAACAATATTTTTCTGAAGCGGCCGCATACATAATTACGTTATACATTATAATATGCTGCGGCATTGAACGACATAAATCCAATAATCCGAGGATTATGCGAATTTTAAACGGATTTAATTTAAAAGCGACAAAAACACCGCCGAAATTTGTCGGTTTGGCAAACGGAGAGAAAAAGCTTGACCCGTACATTATATATACATACATATAAAAAGGTCATTATTATAATGTAATATTTTTGGTGTTCGTGACGTTTTTACACGGTCGTGGACAGACGGTAATCCTCTCAGAAAGACGGCATCGTTTATCTGTCATTGTGCGTTAAGAAGAAAACGCGTACGCTTTTATACATTATATTATACATAGGTTATACACTTATACATTATGTATGGACGCATCTCACGTGTGAACTCGTATTCTCACCTAAAGTGCCACATAATCGTACCCATACCGGAGTATGAAAGAGACGCAATATAATATATAATATTATGGTTTTGTTAAAGTACGACAATATATGCACTATACACCCATATCTGGCGGAGACTATTATATATTATATTATGTATAAATTAAACATATTTACAGTTTACTTATTTATACCGAACATTTGCATGCGGTTGTTTTTGTATTTATAAGTAGTTAATTGTATGATTTATGTGCTTGTCGTATATATAGTTTCAAAAATGGTGGTGTTGACACAAGAAAATGAAAAAAAAAGTATTAAGCTCGGATATTGCATTTCGGTGGCTTCAATGTAATTCGTCTTTGTTTTAAAGTAGATACATATATCATCGAATTAACTATTTTCAATACGCGTTCAATATAATATTATGTTTAATCTTGTTGTATAAAAGTAATGCTTTTTAACGAATAACTCAAGTCACAATATCTCGAGTCCACACTAATAATACACCTATATACTCTACAATATTATATCCTTTTAATATATTTCATTGCCGTCCTACCGAACCTGACCAAATAATGACGACAATACGACGTGAGGGATTTTTATAAAATCGACGTACTTACAGAATCAAAATATACTAATTAGTCAACGTCAGTTTATCGAGTGATTTATCGAATGAACATTTCAAACATTTTTTATTCG